GGGGGAGATGCGCTGCGAACAAAAACGCGAGGAGTTGCGAAACAGCTCTTCTCGGGTCGGGGATGTCCTGAAATTTCACGTAGTCCGTTGGTTACGGAACACCTCATTTTTTTCTGGTCTCGAACGAGGAAAATGAAAATAACAAGACGGAGCACTCCAAGCCTCGGGGGTCTATGAAATGTTTCGAAGCACGGGATGAATGTTGGGTAAATTGAAGCAATTCTTCCAACAGGAATGGGGTCGACAAATGACAGACTTTGCGTAGTATGTGTCTGGGAAGCGCGGACCGGACTGTGATTGCTTTAAATGGATTTTCGTATTTCTCGATTCTTATCTTATTTTGCCTGAAGAATATGACGAGAAATTTAGAAAATTAGGATTAACGGTTCGACTTACCTCTTGCGGTGAGTACAGGGAATATTGCAACGGATGGAATACGTTAAAAATAGTTTGCCTTAATTAAAATCAGAAAATACAGCTTTCCGTGCGGTTAAATTTTCAGGAGTTCTTGGAAAGTAGTACTCTACTCTGTTTAACTTAAAAATGTAGACAGTATAGCTGCTACGGAAATGGAAAAGATATAAATGGTTCGTGCTGAAATTCATAATGCGTCAAACTTCATGGAGTGGAGCGTATAACGTACTCGGGCATCAGTATTGCTTTTTTCGTTAACGAAGAATGGAAACATTTCTTGGAATTTGCAATCTATTTGGAAAGTAGGAAACTCATATTTGGCCGTTATATCTACTATAGTTGTTAGCTTATTAAAGATTACAGCAAATCATAAATTAACTAGTTGAACGTGAAATAGAAAATCATCGCTGTCACGCGTACGCGACTTTGGTCTTTTAAGAGAAATATCGTGTTACACCGAACCGATCGTGTTAATAGATTATTCAATATGTACTTGACGCTCATGCATCGAACTACGTTAATGCAACACCTACATCATGTATAAGTAGAAGCATAAACTCCGAGGAAGACACGGAATAGTCTATAAATTCGTCTCAACGTCAGGATGTCTTTAGAAATTGATGCAGCTGTCTCCGATGTCGGTGAAATACCAGAATAATGGTCCATTTAATTCTCAAAGAACGAACATTCGCGTACGGTGCCATTCATAGTACGTACAAATGTACAAATTTCTGTAGTTAAATGAAGCTTCGCCACAGACGGGTCTAGCCAACCATTTAACCCAAGCCTAACATTTACGGGAACCCCGAATCTATACAAAAAAAGTCTTTTTAATGCACTGGAAGCTTGTGGAGTTAAGTGGCTTGTGCTTCTTTCAGTCTCAAAGAATCCCTAATTATAATAAAAGTTGATTCGAAATGGAAAATTTTCTATAGAGAACAGACTGTAATTTAAATGATGCTTGAAAACTGCAAAAACAGAGTAATTTATTTGGTGAATTCTAATTCAATTTATTCGCTAATTAAAATGCTACTGCTAACGTATGTATGTATATAAAGCGCACTCTTGAAATAGAACCTTAAAATAGTTGATTAAAATCGAGAGATTTCCAAACGATTGAAATAGACTCGAGTCTGTCGAGGGACAAAGATAAATTACATTTAAAAATCTCGGCCAAATAATAGTTCCCTACGATCCCGAATTCCGCATGAATCATGAATTCTAATCTAGAAAATTGCTTCCAGCGCGAAGCGTGTAATCCTTTGACGTTCCTTCTCAATAGAATTCTTCTCCAAGCTTCGTGTCGAGTAACACGCCAAGTCACCGTCACACGGTATCCATCTTGATCGCTGTTTTTTAATTAACTCCGAAACACAGAAGCGAGCCGTTTCATTAATAAACATTGCCCCTACTCTAGCGTCGCGCAAAAGAATCCGGTCGCAGAGCAGCGCGAAGATTATGAAAGTGTTGGACCGATTAAAATTCTTCAGCGTTGCGGAAATTCATCGTGACTCCTTTCCTACTCTGCGAGGGTAGCAAACCTGCTCTAAGTTACCGTGTCCTCTTCATCTCTATATCCATAGTCATGAGAAACTCTTCGGCTAATCGAACCGAGGGTACAACCGTTTGACGATACCCCTCGCAAAGAAGCGTAAAGTGTTCGCGAATGAAATTCATCGTATAAAAGTCAAAATCAATACCAAAATTAGCAATGGAACCCCTTTTTCGAATAATATCTTTCTTCTACAATTTCTCTTTTCTAAAAAGTTGTGGATGACCGGACATGCAACATTCATTAAAAATTAAAATCCTCTCGGCAACTTTCACGATGCTACTTTGAAGTTCCGTTTGTATTGTTTATATTCCAGAACTCAGCAAATATGTGTCCATTTTCCACTTTTTATCCACGTGTACGTTACGTTGCCATCCAATTAAAATAATTCATTAAATTAAATTATTTCTCCACAAGACCATGCTTTGGCCTCTACATCATGATTCAGTATTTTCCTTTTATTCACTGTCACGTTTAATCGTACAAATGTGAAATTCATTTCATCTTGTCGTTTCTATCATTGTTGCATGTAAATTGGCTGGAATTCGAATCTATACAGCTCCAAAATTTACTACAATATTATTAAACGCAACGCGTATTTATTATTCGATGGTATGTAACTTGTGGCAATTAATTATCATCGATATCTAGGGGTCAGGTAACATTTCATCGCGTATATTTGTTTCCATCCAATGTTTCGATGTTGCTTTATTTATAGCGTCACCGATAATAACCAAGTTTAATACGATGCATCTTTAGTTCGATTTAGCTTTCGAGCTACGGCACAAATGAGTATCAGAAGCGAACCAAGCTCGCCGTGAAATTCTGGACCGCAGCTTTCGTCTCGTCGGCGTCGCGTCGTACAGAAGTTGGTTTCTCGTATCGGTGAAATATCGAGCTTTCTCGCGGATTTACCGCGTGGGTGCCCACTCTTCATCGCGCCGTCATGCTTGAATTATTTAATTGGATTCTGCTTTTTGCTTCGCCTGTAAAACGGTGTACAACGGGCGCGCGGATTAATTTTGCTTACCGGTTCCGAATACGAAGGAAACGGGATCGCTGGAGCGAACGGAGCAGTTCCAGAGGATTCACGAATCGTTGTGCATTTCCGTTTTCCTCGCCCACGGCGTAAAAATCCGCCTGAGTCAGGACTCGAAGCACAATAGACTAGACGAGACTTTGTCTCGCGTCTCGAGCGGATAACTCGTAGGGGATTGTCAACCGTTTGGCTTCCTCGACAGGTTTTCTGACTCTTTAGTGGGTGGTAAGCCATCGCTACGTGGGAATAGGGGTAACGTAGAATTAAAATGGAGAGTGGAAGGCACAGCGCTGGGTGTAAATTGTGGTTTCCTAACGTGGACGTTGAGAAGATCTGGAACGGGCTTGAGGAGGAGACGTGCTCTTTGCTTCAGAGGTAGTTAGGTAGTCTCGAGAAGCAAATGGCAACTCATTTCAAGAATCACATTAAGTTATGTCGGTACAATTAACCATTTATATGTGTTGGAACAAGCTAAGAATAGCTGATTGCGAAGGGTGTGAGATAACGTTAACGAAAGCGTCGAAAGAAACGCGCTAATTCAAATCAGCGCGACTCACCTCTGTCAACGGGAACATTTACACAAAAATGGGGGCGCAAGCGAGACGACGCCGACGCCGACGCCGACGTCGGAAACATGGCCGCCGCGACGAAAAAGAAGCGAGGGAACGGGCACGTTCGCAGAAAGAAGAACGGGATCGGTTCATTGAAGTGCCGACTTCAAAAGGATTCGCACGAACGGGGAAGTGGAATTTTCATTATCGGAATACCGGTCGCTGTCAGTAAACCTCTTACTGCTTTGATAAGCGCGTCCCTCCCATGCCCCCACGTCCGTGTCTCGCCTTTTGCTAAAGAGAACACGGGAGTAAAAAACGATCGTGTAGATTTAAGCACCTTCCCATCGTTGGACGAGTTTATGTCGAGCGTCACTTCCGACGCGAGGCGCGAGGCGAGACGTTTGCGATGCAATATGGGACTGCTTGCTCCTCAAAAACAACAAGCCCTTACGAACGATTCCAATTTAGCGCGACACTGGCGACTTCTCGGTAATTCCTCTCTGCAAAGTGGAAAATCAAGACCGCTGGATTCATTAATGAGACAGCTACAACCAGGACTAGGAAAACGATTTGTTTTCTTTTCGATTCTTTTTAAACATTTCATAAACGATTGATTTTCAAACACTACTACAAATAAGATTAAAATGTAGATTGCAGAACGCAACACGTTTCCTTAATCTCATCTTGAAATTTGATCTCTCAGGCAGGAAAATATGTACCGTCGGCATTGTAGACGCAGAGATCACTCGCCTTTCCCCGAATTGGAACGTTCGTTTCGCGCGAGTAGGATTTGAAATTATTGCGAAATCGATCGCGTTTGGAGAAAGGTGTGCATGCGAAACTGGGCGGGGAAAATCCGGCTGTCAGAGAGATGTCAGTGAGAAGCTGGATTTATGCACTTCTGGTACGAGGATCGGTAAATCGTTTCGTCCCGACGTTCCTGTATACAAATCCATTATGCGCTCGGTTCTGTTTTTAAAATAATAAGGGAACGCGTGGCGTGAAATTTATATAGAATTTTCGTCATTCAAAGGCTGTAAATCCATTCAAGACTTGTATCTTTTTACACCAAACCCCACCCTTCTTCAAACACCCGTTTTGGGTTTCCAAGATTAGAGATTCTCAAATTAATTTACACCCCGTCGCGTCACGTCGGTACGGCTTTGCTCCAACTCCAATCAAAGTTACTTCGAAAGACAGCCTTGCGATAATTACGAGCAAAGGCGCAGTTACAAGGTAACCAGTAATTACGTTGAAACGCTCACCATAGGAACTCGATACCCTTGAATCTCTGAAAAGCGGGTCTCCATAGGGTCCGAGTTTTGCAAAAAGTTCATATACTCTCGAGAAGTGAGTCGTGGTAGCCGCGTAAGAAGCCAACGGGTGTCCCATTTGCAGAGTTCTCGAGCAAAACAAACAACATCGACGACCAAGTACTTACCAAAGGGCCAGTTGGTAATGCAGAATCGCACGGTTCGGCTGCGACATGTCTCTGAGGAAGTTGGCGAAGTTGTAGTGCATCTTGGCGTTGTGAGGCAGAGACCGCAAGCCCGCTCTGCAACAAGGCGATTTCGGGTCAAACATGTAGCGTGTATTTCGAGGTCAGAAGTCTGAAGAAACTGAATAATTTCTATGACCTCTTAAGTCCAAGTCCAATATCATGATGCAAAAGCGATTATTTGAATGATCGTTATGGTAGCCAACATTTAACAGATTCTATATATTATAAAATCGTCCAAGTTTCCCGAGACTATAACGAACCGATTGGTTCTGTTTAATACAACACCACCAAAATATCAAACATCTATTTCGGATCAGACAAGATCCTCGTCCTTTCTCTCGTCAACTCCCAGCTATCTGTGATAGTTACGCTTCGTATCGTCGCACACGGCCCAATTGCTTTTGTACAACTTTCGGTCATACGCGTAAGTACGAGGCTGGCACAGCGCCACGAGCGTTGTTCGAGCCGTGACGGAGAGCCTGTCGTAAATCTCGGCGGAATTACTTTGCGATTTGGCGAATTTGGATGGGAAGGGAGGGGATCCGCGCCGCGAACAGGCTTACACCTTGCGAACGATTGGCGAGGGAATTTCGTTAACGCCGAGAATTCTGATTCTTTCGTTGAATTCTGGCTCGAAATTTAATTCCCCGCTTAGGAAACATAACTGTTATACGCAACGAGCTTGTAATTTACGGCAGTAAAAAGCCAAAACAAAGTGCATTCCAATCTTCAAGAATTTTCTCTATACAATATCTATACAATTCTCTATAACAATTTCTTATTTTTTATTTTCCCTTAGGGTTTTCAATTTTTCCTACCTCCTAAACCCAGATGTTAAACTTCCAAGGTACTAACTTGCTTCTACGAAATTTCTCCTTACGCTTTTGAAGAACCGGCCGTAATTTTTTTATTATGAGAGTAAAGTAGTTACACGTGAAATTAAGAAAATATCCCGGAACTTATCGTAAAAGTATCCACATATTACTCGAAAAATTTTATGGTAGCTGCCGGTCATAAATTTCTTGTGTGTTTCAGGAAAGACCGTACTTTCTGAAAAAGATTCTAGCCAATAGAAAATGTTGCCATCGTAACTGAAATTATATTTTGTTGAAATTTCAAATTTGGAAATGTTCGATACACTCCCAAACCCTTTTTCTTAAAATAGATTCGATTAAACTTGTCTTAAACTAACCTGAGTAGAGTTTCCCTGGACGTCCAATCCCTGTTTCGTAGGACCGTTTTGTAACACCCTAAAATCAGGAGAAGCGCTATTCCCGCTGTTATCAAGCTTCTTCTCCGCGGTATCGCCGTCCAGCAGATTTGCATTCCGTATACGACCAATAGGATCCAACCAACGCTGTAAAATCGTTTCTTTTAACTTTTTCTCTCGTAGACGTTTTCGTTTGGAAATTGCGAAGAGTGAACAAAAATTAATATTACCTCGGTATGTACAGTACTCGTTCCGCGACGACGAATCCAACGGTAATAAAAAGATTGGATGCGGGCAGGAACGGCAGTACCAGGAACATCCAACCAAGAAGAAGAGGTGGGTGCCTCTGTTGCTGTAAATGAAACGCAGGTTGCTGCGTTAGACGGTGAAAAGCGTTCCGCCTTAGAATGAAATTGCACGGCTCAACCGCGTAACGTTGTGTTAGGCACTAACTACGTATTAAATAAAGTTTATACAAGGAAAGAGCGTAGCGCTAGGTTCCGCTTTTGTTTCGCGGTTCCTACAAATACTCGGAAACTTGTTGCGAATACATAATATACTTACCACAATAATACACTTGTAGGTTTTATATTAAAATAAACGAAAAGAATGCATGTAATGCTGCGGAGGATCTCCAAAATTTACATTTTGGGCCACTTGCAAAAGGTAAACGTGGTCGAAAATGTTAGTTTTATTAAAAAGTGTTATCAATTGAAATCGAAGTGAAATATAGATAGTCATTCCAGCCGTTAATTCAGAACCACCCCGTATGTCGAAACAGAATTCGCCAAGAGAATAAAGGTCGCGAAGACACATAAAGTTTACTTACTTCGAACTTAAGAAACTGAAACTTTTCAATCGTCAAACTGTTTTAACAAATTTTGCTGTTTCTCTAGAATCCCGGTCTTCTGAACCAGAAGACTTTCTTTCTTTTTTCTACTGGGTTGTCCCGTTGGAATTTAGACGTCAACGTTTTAAAGAATTACGAAGGAGCGACTTATAACTTCGGATAAGCCAACGGAGTAGCTTTTTTGAGCAATAACCGACCGAGGCTTCGTTCAGAAGGTGGACAGCAGAAATCACGCGCCAAGGGCGATGGATTAAAGTGTCGAGAAATGAGATCAGCGCGAGACGCTTCGAGTGGAACTGATTGGGGAGGGTCGCTGCTTGACATCACAGGCAGCCAAGTATGTTTGGACACGCTGTCGAGAATCAAAGGTTCGTTGACGCCCCACAACGTGCCTCCTCAAACGTGAGACATTTCACTTTTTTCTGTTGCAAAAGTCATTTCTGCTAGAAAAAGATCTGCTTGTGTGATAAACAGGAGATACATTTTAGAAAAGCTTTTCTTGGCAAATTCAGCAAACTTGTGCATCGATCCGATATAATCCTTGAAATTTCCCAGGGAACAAAGATCGAGCCGAATGACTCGCCACTCTCCGCGATCTCTTTACTGTGAAAGTCCAGAGAGAGCGATTTCGCTGCTCGTGAATTAGAACGTAAATTTCGGTATCGAAGATCAGTCTGGGATTCCCCTAATTCGAAACCAGCTGCGGAGGCAACAATTGCTGGAATCGAGCACGGCGTCGATAAAGCTTTCGAATCGATAGTGGCGGAAACTTGGGACCACGGAGCTGAAATTCGCAAAATAATTACGATCGCTAAGGCGAAATTGAGCACTACGGGTTCGGGTCACAGCGGGAAATTTGCGGCTTTCAGCGGCTTTTGTTCCTATTGACATTCAGCACGGGAATTTACGTCGAATTATTTTTCGACCAATCAACTCAAATTTACTAAATGAAAACACATATGAGAGAACCAACCAACGTTGTTATTCATAACGAATAAGCGATTAATGGGTTTCTTTAAAAATTACCCAAAAGTAATCTAAAACTGTAATTATCTGGATCTACTGTAGATTGATTACGATTCATAATATATTGTATAAAAAATAGTTGGAACATTTGTATCTGTTTAAAATGTTTTCAAGAGACAACTGAATATACGAAGGCTCGCGGAACAAACAAAATGGAGAAACTCTCGGTAGATGGTATAAATCTCGCGCTGAATTCTCCGCGAAGCAATGAATCTACAGAGATAGACATTCTTGCGGAAATATTCATGAAGAATATGATAAACATGAGAGCGCAGCTGAAACATCAATTCGCACGCACGTGGAAGCGAATAAACACACTCGGGTGAAACATCGCGAGGTTATTGAAGAGGAATCAACGTCCACGGGAAAGGTACGTGATGAAATGGAGAAGCGAAAAGAAACATGGGGAATCGAGGAACATAATACTCTATTCAGGGAATCAGAAGCGGCGCGATATCGATTTCGATAAAAATGACAAAGACGAGTGGACAACTTTTGACCGGGGACAGAAAATAGTAAATACAGAAATTAAGAGCAAGGGTGCTTCGAGCGAAGCACGAAAGAAAATAATAGAGTATTCTCGAAGGAAAGATAATTTGTCATCGAAAGAGAATAAGAAAGTGGAGAATCACTTTGACCCCGAAGAAGAAAGAGAACGTATACAATATGGAAAGAATGAAAATCAACAGTCTATTCGACTGCTGCCGCCTGCGATGAAGGAAAATATAAAGAATATTATTCAAACACAGCCAACAAGAACGACCAAGAAAATTTTTGTGTAAACTGTGCCAGTTCTTCGAATATCAGGCGTTTTTAATTCTTTCAAAACGCGCAGCGAAAGAAAAAATTCAATCGTGAAGTTTACTCATTTCAGAGTTTTAAGAAAATTGTATTCTTTCCTTTGTAAAAACAAAGGACTGCTAACTGAATATTCGTCAAACGGAGAATGTTACAGTATTTTCATTGTGGTGGCACAGGGAAAAGGCTAGGTGGTATACTAATTTATCAATTAATTAGAGTCGACGAAAATAAAACAAGGTTGGAAGAAAAAGTGCTCGATGATGAATATAAAATAACTATAGACGAATCGAACTATACATCACTTAAATACAGAAGCAGTGTGCGAAAGACGACCTGGAACAAGTATCGGAGTTGACTGAGAGTAATGATGTCACCGACAAAAGTGAAGAGTCATCGTACGAGGTGCGCATGGTAAAAGATGTAAGTGTCGGAAGTGTCGCGGTGAATGATAAATTGCGGACAAATAAGTGTGATACGGATGATCGCTCGGGAGATGCAAATGTTCAAGTGCGAGGAGCAACAGGGATGGTAGACGAATTTGCAACGCGTGATTTTGAGGTTGACGAGTTGGAGGTACTACTTGCAGCGCCATTGATCGAAGATAACGAATCTGGGGTGCATTACACCGCGGGTATATTCGAACTGTTTTGAATACCAAAACAAGTGGAGAAGCACACCCTTAGGATGTGCTCAAGAGGGTCCAATTATACGTCGCTTAACCGAAGGACTCCTGGCACATTCTATTAACCGATCCGATACCAAACGGTATAAAGGACTGTTGGCTGAAACTGCCGATAGCAATCATATCCTCAGGCACGCGAGGCTGGGTTAAGTGTAACCGAAAAGAACAATTCTGGCATGGAACACTTAACCGAATTTTCTTGTCGATACAATTTGAAAGACAAAGACTTGGCAGTATACTCGGGAAAAATATGCACAATCGAGACCACTTCGTTTTGACGAATATTACAAATTTTCGAACGGCTCAGAGTTTCGAAAATTTGTATCGTTCCTCTAACGAGAAGGAAGAAAGTATGAGAACGAACGGCCATTTGTTCTATTTCCAGCGTGCAAGTTCAAGCAACGAATCCAGCGAAGGAATTCCAGACACTAAATTCGAGAGGAAACTGCAACCTAGTTTCTTAGAAGTTTGCAAAATCCGCCACGGAACTAGAATATAAAAGTGAACCTTTTGTTCCTCTTCCTTCGGAGCCGTTTAACCCGTACTCCGATGGGAAAGGAACCGCGGGATACGCGCAGCCCTCGTCTACTACATCTTTCGGGCAAACTTTTGAGCAGCGAAGTCACAAACGACAATTTACGTACAGTTCCTAGAACTGTACTCACGTCGCCACTATCGCGCGTAAAAAGTAGCAAAGTGGCAGATACGTACGATGCTTGAACCGGTATAAAATTGACAAACGAGAACGTAGCAACCGCTACCAACGCGAATTTGCCACGCTAATCAACGTAGAAACTACTCGATCTCTCGAAAGGAATATATCCGACGTAATTCGTAGTCGTGGCAAGCATTAAATTGCTGAAAATGAGTAAATTAAACGCTTGGCTGGTATCATGAACGAATTTGGGTGTAATTATTCCATCGCAACGGTCGACTTATTCCACTTTCAACGAAACGCTGGTTAATAGGGTCTCCGTTCAAACGTTTATCGGGCCACTTCCATCGGAACTGGTTCTCATTAATCGAACTCGCAATCTCCCACGGACGATTGTTTTTTCGTGGCCAAATTACCGTCGTTTGTCGCGACCAGCGCGCGTAAATAAGCTGGAAAAGTAGGGGACCTCAATGATGAAACGATTACTGGACAGGAAATGAGTAAACGCGAGGCGCGAATCAGTGAGCAGTTGTCGTCGCATTATTCAAAGATGTGTTTGGCACGAATCAATTTCAGGTCAGCAGTTCTATGGTCACCGCCGCGTACATTGTGTGTTTCAGTGCATCGAGAGAGACAACAGGGAAGAACGGGAAAATTACTACCCGACATATTTGCACGTCTCTCTGGAATCAAAATAAATTGATAGATTGCTGGGATAGTGGCACGCGCAAACAAACGTTTTCTTTCTATTCGTAATCGATTAGCTCGTACATCGATCGAAGGCAGCATGGGAGAGTGTTGCGTTGCACGACGCTGGGGCATGACAATGAGTCTAAGTCATAGAAACTGTCATATTTTGCGATGAAAGAAATTGCATTGCTTTAAATTTGATAAAACATTAGTATTCAAGAAGCGAAGACACCAAGGAGCTCTAGAGACACGGGAGCAAAGGTTTCCACCTCTCTGCAATTCTACCTCTCATGAAAATGCCATCTCATCGACATCAATAAACGTTTCCGCGTTCCGGAAGGAAACCAAAGCTTCGAGTTTCCCTATCGATCCGCGAAAAGTTCAATTCTAGGTCAGAACACATGTCCAAGAACCTTGTTCCGACGCGCTTCGGCATTCAAGCCGGTAACGTCTCTCGTTACCTCGCCCCTCGCGCGTTAAAGTATGTCAAAGACGCACGCTGAAAGCGGACAATACAGCATCGAGAACAATGGCGCGAGGAGGCGCTATTACAGAAACATCTTTCAAATCGGATGTTAGGCACAAAGATTATCTGGCGGAGGGAAAGAGGTGACAAAAACGGCCTCGTTCCTGAAAAAGACATCCGCAGTACCATCAACTCGCGCTCGATCTCGGTCGTCTCTAACTGCCACTCTTCGCCTAGAATGGAAGAGCAAGTGCGAGGGGGCGGAAAGGGGGTGGCGAGTGGCAACGTTAAAACCACAGATACGGCCTCCTTCGAGAAAAGTGGCCGACAACCCGTGGACGGTAGGTTTACCGTCGTTAAGGTTTTAAAGAGGTCATTACGCTGAACGCTTAGCCGCGTTACCAACGAATGACCCGAAAGACAGAGAGTTGCGAGGGTGGGAGGTTCAATGGTGTTTCAGCTCCTCTCAAGATATCAAAACAATCCGTGTAAGGAACACAACATGGCGTGTACATCGGCGAGAAAGATAAACAAGGACGTCCAAGACTTGGGAATCACTTGAGAACTTTACAGCGATCATTACGTTGAACACTCGGCTGCGTTAGTGACTTATGACCAGGAAGACACAGAGTTCCTGGTCGGGCATTTGACTTGGCACTCGTGCCGCGAAACTTTTATGGCGTTCGAGCCAAGTACAACTTCATCACGGTCGACCACGAGGATCACGGGCGTAGAACTTGGTGGTTCGTTACTCCGAGCATTCCTGGTCGAAACGTTTAACTGCGAAATGACTTCTTGTGAACGATAACTGGTCGGTCATTCAACTTCTCCTTGATACCTACGAGCGTATTCAACAACGCTGGAGCAATTGTTCCCGCTTGCACTGGCTCGATTTGGTGACCCTCTTTCGCAATGGACGCCATTACGATGCCTGTAGAAAGTTGCACCCTTACCTCGAAATCTGTGAAGGCTTTGTACGTAAGAATGAGACAGCCGCCGAAAAACAGGCAGGTCGCCAGGTTTCTAGTGTCGGCCAACGAAGCGACCAAAGGAACGGATCCCATCTGCCAGTCGTGCGAAAGCGTCGCTGGACAGAGCAGCAACCAACAATTCAATGCCGCCAGATAGCAGAACGTCAATAATCTGAAACCAAAAAGACAGGAGCGGTTCGTTAACACCATGTATAAGTAACGTGCTAAAAATTGATGCGTTCAGTGAAAAATTTACACCGCGTGATTTTCGCGAAATAATCGTATTTCACTGTCAGTTGAAGCCCCGTATATGGCACGCGCGGCTTATTATCCCCCGAAAATGTCAATCACCTGTCAGAGAAGTGGTCGATCGAACACGTCGAAGCCAGACTTACTGGGGGTGTCAAACTGCTGATTTCTACTACTTCACTGTCATCGTAAATACAGTGTAAGTAAATATCGAACTTGTTATCTAGGGGACGAAAAGGAGAATATATCGCATACTCTTGGAAAGGCAATATCTACGAATCACTTTACGTAAAAAAGAACCCTGAACAGAACAATATCCCAATACACAACACGAATACTAAAGTCCACGCTCCAGTGTCCGAGGGTACCCCAACCCACGAGACATCGCTGTCGTCGAAACGTGCGTGGCACACTAGTCTTCCATTAAGCGTCGACGAAGAATAAAGAAAGGAATTCTCGGGTGCACCTCCGAATGACCTGAATAGCTTCTTTTCAGTTCCCGCCAACTCGGGTCCGTATCAAGCGCATTAGACCCCACAAAGCAGAATCGATATCAACGTACCAAAGTGTCCTCGATGCACGGCTGCATTAAATACTCTCAAATCGTTCGCTTCTCGACCTACTCGAAACTACGATGAAGCGACGTAGAGCTCTCTGTAATCGCAACGCAAACTTGCACTGTGCCGTAGAGGAGTCATTCGAGTGCAAAGGGTTAACAAAGTCTGTCTTTCCGTATTCCTACACGTCACGTCACGTCACGTCACGTCACGTCACGCCAATACCATTCTCCTTTCGTTGCTCTTGTTCCACGAGTTACGTCGATGACAGACTCTCCTTTGCACGTTTCACCCTCTTTCCCTTCACTTTCCTCGTCTTTTATTTATTTTTTTTCTCGCGGTTCTTCGCTTCCCCGTGTAAATTGGCCGACGATACTTGGAGCTAGAGGCAGGGTGCCCGTGGCCAGCATTGTTCGACAGACGCGAACGTTGAAGAGGCCGACCGACGCCGCTGGAGAGTCACCCTCCGATGCTGACGTCGTGCCTCCATTTTCTCTCTATCAGCGTCTACCGATATAATCACCGATATAATGGCCAGGCATCCCACTAGCGAGCGTCTACGGCGGTCTTCGAGGAGGATGCCCATCAGTGTATCGCCGCGCCTAGTGGCAGAGCTTACTCGGCAAGTCTATTGTTCGGCGAACAACGCGACGCGGCACGCGTAACGCGCTGTTAAATATTCGATGCATCCCCGAGAGTGTCAACCCGCGTCACGCTACAATCCTCTCTAATTGTTCTCGACGTCGTCTGCGGTATTATCAAAATGGTCCGCGTTTAGCCGCTGGAAGTGGAGACATCGAGTGGACTGACGGCCAAGCTCCGAGATTGCCCAAGCGAGTTGACATTTTTTTATATAATTAAGTGTTTACGGTTTGTGAAAAATTGAGCGTGCGTAGAGTCGAAAATTTTCTAAAAAAAAAGCACCTCGTTCACGCTTTTGCCCATTTACCGTGTACTCGTACAGGCTCAACACGCCCAGTTAACGAGTTTCGCGCATGTGCCCTTCATTTTCTGGATTTAATAATGCCAGGCTAGTAAGCCGGTTAATGCGTGCATTACATTTGGCTTTATGACGGACTACGTTGTACCGAAATTCTGAAGGACATAATTATCCGCATTAACGAAGAACGCGGAAAGAGAGGGCGGGGACAACTGGAAAATATAAATATAGCCGGCGCAAAGTGGCATTGTTCCGGCTCCAGTCAACCCTTTTCGCGTACCTAACGAGCAGCGCGCAGCATTTCCCGGTTTCGTGACACACGTGTGTACGTACAACAATGGAGCGTCGGACGAATTTGTTTTAAAAGGCCCTCACTCTGGGATATTAACACCCAGCAAGCTACTGCATCGCGTTGCTTCTCAATGAGAAGCGAAATATTCGTGGCACGAAAACGCGAAAAACATCTCGCTCATCGCGTCCACGTTACCACGTTACGCGTAGTACAATGGTCATTCTACTTGAAGGGATTATAATGTCACCGATCAAACTGCTGCCGGAATACATATTTGAGTAGCGAAAGGACAGTTACGCTTTTCTATCTCAGGGGATTTGTCTCCCAAGCGTCCTGCTTTTCGTTCAAAGGACATGGATCGTCCTGTTCCTTGCGGTTCAAGCGTCGCGTTGGTCGACCGACTTCGGAACGAGTTCTGCGACAGGAACGAGAGCACGCAGCAGTACCATTATGTGCATACCGACAGGCGACGCTTCAGACGAAGGATATGGTACACGGTACACGGGATACGTGGCATCCCGAACTGCATTGCGGTATACTCGACTTCCCACAGAGCAAAGGTGACCTTCCGTCTCTGCTTCCGTCGCGGTAAACTGATCCGCGTTTGGCCCGTTACAACGTGTCTTGTATTTGGCTTTCCAGACACTGGCAACCCTCGATTTCGAGCACTTCGTATCCCAGTTAAGCCTTGGACTATCCTTTCGTTTCGAGATGAAACGGGAAAGGGATCGAGGTCTCGATAAAGATCTTATTAACTCTGGTTAGAACGAGCCACGAAACGGCGCAACCCTCTATAATAAACAACGTTTCCATCATCCTTCGTTCCTTCTTCGGTCTTCTAGCTTCTTGTACCGGCATTATTTTACAAACGCCCGGTATTACATGGGAGTTCCGCCGTATCGTTTCAACAATACGTCTGTTGCTCAGATATTACGTTCTCGACCTCATGCCAAACTACATCGCTATATATTACCTACAATGGCGCGGAAGCACGATATACGTAGCTGCACGGCGCACGACGATTTAAAAGAAACAACACGACTGTTTACTCTGGTTAACTCCGCTACGCGCACGGGCAAAAACAATTTTTTGAACAAACATGGCACGTTACCGTGGAAAATACGGCCGGATTATTTTCTTCCGTGTAGGATTAATATTTAACACCCTCCGATATGAAAACGCTCCGATATCGCGTTACCGTCTTTCGAAATGTTTATACCGATCTCTCACGCTCGCTAATATCTATTACCATTCTCATCGGTGTTGTTAATAAGTTTTTTGCGAGCCGATGCAAATAGTAAAAATATCCGCGCCTACACCATCATTGTCGCACATCACGTTTTCAGCATTCTAATTAATGTCACCCGGTGGAAGTGGAGCAAAAAGGCAGACGGTCGCTGTAAAAAGCAATGACAATAATGTATTCTGGCTCGCTGGCCGGCATGGCGATCTCATCCAGCGTATCATTTTTCTCGGCACCCGGTACACTTTTATTTTGCTGACATGATTAATGGTCCCGACGGCTTAAGAAGCGGTAGACTCGAGATGTGGGAAGAAAGGCTGACCCGAAACGTCAAAATAATAATTCGGGGTATATGTCACGCGGAGGAAAGGGAGACGCGTACTGTTACGCGAAAGAGCTGAATTTTCCACGGCGAGACGGTTTTACAATTCCAGGCTTGACGTATACCCGAGCGACCGCGCTTTTTGCAAAAACGTGTACGCCACCGGATATTGCCGCGAACGTACGACGAATACACCGGGCCGCCAGGATTTATAGGCTTTTATTCGTTATTTGGAACGGATGCATATTGTTGCACTGGTTTCGCGCGACGTATGAATCAAATACGGAAAAAAAATGATAGTCCAGACGAAAGGGAAGAGCGTATCGTTCCGAGCGACAATTAACGCTCAAGTGTATCGAGACCTCGGAGCTCACAACTTCTTAGGTTCGGCAATTCGGTATTTATAGGCTTTTATTCGGTGTTAACTAACGACTGGTGAATATGAACGTGTCTACACCTAAGTTAATCATTTTCGAACGGGACACGATTTGCAAATGAATTATGAAAATAATCTACCAACTGAAAACGCTGCTCCCTCGCCGACAAACATATTTCCTTAGTTTTTATTAGGAAAATTGTGCTCTTTAAATTGAACAAAGAACTGCTTATCATACCAAACAATCGAATGCTTCTATGAACTTTCTGTATATTTTGTTCGGAATTAATACGTCCACAGGACTCGGTTGGCCCATATCCGCCGTCTATTGATGGTGCTTAAGCGACTCTAGGGTATTTTGTTTTTTAGCCAAAGTGTCGTTACACGTAGCCGAATTAAATGAACTCGTAATTTAAATTCTCGCGATGCCCTGGCAAACGCGATTCGCATTCTAGAGCAAATATTTCAATGTCCAGCCGCGAAAACGAACAAAAGTAGAGCCGCGCAACACGCGTTCCGACAATTTAATTTACTCGGAACTTGAATCGCGCCACAGACGAAGATTTAATGCGATAAAGCCTTTCTTGCGGGGCGGAACAGTTTCATTCTCTCGCAATAATTCGCGAAAATTAGATTGGATCATTCCTTTCGTGCAACGATTGCTACTCGATTTAGCATCAGATTTTTCTTTGCCCTGTTTACGATCATCGATGAAATTGTTGGAAGTAATTAAACTATCGTCGCAACTACAAGCGCTTGCTCTCGCAGTTAAGATTAATAACTCTGGGAAAGCGTCTTAGTTGATTTATCGTTTTTATACAAATTAATTAACCGCCATGTTACATGTTCTGACATTTTACATTAAATTTTATGGATCGATTATTGTAGACGTCTGCGACCTCGTTGTTTTACATCGAACACCGTCAACTACTTGATTGCAGAGAAAGTGTAAAATGTAACTAGGCGAAAGAAAAACTAACAAATTTCGGTTTTAAAGTAAAATAAAATCGCGAAGCCTCTTTATCCTGTATCGAAGTTGAACAATTACACTGCAACTTTCTTGGTCTCTCTTTACGTAGAAATTGGTTCGGTAACTGCTGCTTCGACGGCGAAATTGTTAATCCACTTTATCTGTAACGTTATGAGCGAGGACAAGACTGCTAAAAGCTTGCCAGAACTTTCGTCGTTAGGGC